GACAACAAATCGGGCAACACGGTTGCCGGGCGGCAGCAGCATGTTGCCCGACTGTTGTTGTTGCCTCGATGTGACAGGGTCGCCGGCAACACGACTTCCCCGTGTTGCCGGATAGAGTTGTCCAACTGTTGCCTCAGTGTGACAGGGCCTTTAGAAAAAGTTTGGAACGATTATGCATCTCGCGAGCTTCGAGTGTGCACGCAGCCAAGAGCACGACAGAAAGCAACAATTACGTCCGGCCGTCTGGCTGTCGAGTGCCGAGCCTCAGCTTCATAGGGCACGCTCCTTACGTAAACAAATAGCCGCTAGACAGGCCGAGCACGCGCCCGTACAGCCAAACGTATCCAAAAGAACGCCTCGCCGCACGCACCACTCCAGCAACGTAAGCGCACAGCGCACTGCGTACAAAGAGTGAGGAGCACTTGCGCTTGCGCCACCTGCGCCCTGCCCGTAGCGGACACCACCGTAGTGCGCTGCGAACATGCGAAGAACGCGAGACGCCAAGAAGCCGCGTCGATGAAAGAGAGAGAAAGAGAAATGTCTTCTAGACGTCCGAGTAAAAAGAAAAAAAAAAGAGGTGTCGACGAAATGTAGCAAACTCTGTCAAGCATCGAATGTCGAAGAAACGGTCTGCCGGTGAGACATCGCAGTGTCAATGAAACGATCTGTCTATAAAAACTTGTTCGATGAACTGCGCGCCAAGAATGGCGCGGCTTGCCACATAAAAAGTGGCGCACCCTACGTCATCGAGAGCGCGACAAAGAGACACACGGAGACGACCCCAAACCCCCGATCCACTCTAAACCAAATTAAGCAAAGCCATGCCAAACCAACCCAAATGAAACCAATCCAAGGGCGGCTGCACGTATCAAGATAATAAATGCTGACAGTATTTTATAAAGGCCGAGATGACTGAAAAACAATGTCGGCTGATGATTCCTTAAATCGCAGCCTAGTGCGGCAAGCACGGTCGATCAACAAAAGCAGAAGTAGCTCGAGTGAGAAGGAAAACTCGGCCTCCAACGGTCTCTGCTCATAGAACAGCATACGACTGACGGACACCACAGAACTGCGGAACCCCTGACCCAACACATCCAACAGGGATTATGGTGAGATTTCAAACCAGACGGACGTCACCCTACCTAACAATACCCCCCCCCCCCCCCAAAGAAAAAAAAAAGAGAGAAAAAAATTTGGTCAGTGCATATGTTTATTATATATATGCTGCATAAAGTTCCGTAGAATTACGTGTGGGTGGCACACGAAAAAAGAAACGGGGATGATATATGTATTAATCGTTCATTTGTGTACAAATGAGCGAGGTATGCACAGCGAGGCGATGCTCTAATCACTGCGACGTTGTCTGTGTAACCTGTCGGAAGGCGCGTTTGTGTTTTTTTGCTGCCCCTTGTCAGCAGGCGAAAGTTCAACACACCCAATTTCGTCAGCTTGAATTTAGTTATTTTCGTAACTAATCAGGGTGAACGAGATTTGGTAGAAATGTGCGGAGCATAAACATAAACATAGTACATTTCTTTCAAATTGGATAAACGGTTCAGAAGTTCACTGTTTTAGGGTAGTTTCCCCGTCGCACGACTCACGCGGAGACAGACCAACGGCTTGCGAGGAACAAAAGAAAAACAAAGAAAGCAACCTGTAAGCGTGATGACCTGTGAGTGTGAGGACCTGTGGGTAAGGTGAGCGTAAAGATCTGTGTGAGTGTGAGGACCGTGAGGACCTGTGAGGACCATGAGGAGCTGTGAGTGTGAGGACCTGTGAGTGCGAGGACCGTGATGACCTGTGAGTGTGAGGACCGTGAAGACCTGTGCGAGTGCGAGGACCGTGAGGACCTGTGCGAGTGCGAGGACCGTGAGGAGCTCTGAGTGTGAGGACCTGTGAGTGCGAAGACCGTGATGGCCTGTGAGTGTGAGGGCCGTGAGGACCTGTGTGAGTGTGAGAACCGTGAGGACCTGTGAGTGTGAGGACCGTGTAGAGCTGTGAGTGTGAGGACCTGTGAGTGCGAGGACCGTGATGACCTGTGAGTGTGAGGACCGTGAGGACCTGTCAGTGTGATGACCTGTGAGTCTGATGGCCTGTGAGTCTGATGATTTGTGATGACCTGTGAGCGTGATGACCGCGATGATATGTGAGCGTGACGACGGCGATGATGACGGCGAGTGAGTTTTGGTTTTGTGTTGAACCGTGAGGGTGAGTCCGGGTGATGACCCTATTTTGAATAAATCGTGATCGTGAGTGGGCGTGAGTCCTGATTGAGGAAAAAATAGTGATCGTGAGTTTGAGTGAGGACAGCTTAAAATGCCAACCTATGACAACAGGTCGGATCGTTCTCTGGCTTCTAATTTCTCTTTTAGATTGTTTCAACATGCTCTCGACGACGTTGGACAAAACGCTTATCGAGTATCCTGAAGCTTAGAGTATCTGCTCTTGGTTCTTGAAACTTTCTCCTGCTGTATGTTCGCACGACTTTTTCAGTGTTGCACCGAAGGCAGCGACAATAATTCCTCTTTTGAAGAGCATGGTGTATGCTGATTCAGATCCAAGTAGACTTTTCTTCGAACATGAGGAATACATTTAGCACACTTTCTGTCATGGAATTCTATTCTCAGTTGAAGGAATTGCAGGGTAGGCTTTTCTGATTATTCGTGTGTGAGCATTTCTGCTTTATCTCTTAAATCATCAGGAAAGTACTCAAGCAGTTTCATGACCAGAGGTACAAATAAGTCTGAGATGAAAGTGATTAAGAAAAAGGGGCAAGCTTGCATAGCTTCAGTATTAAATGTCCTGCCGGCAAAAGAGCTCGATTTTTTCTTTTTAGATTGGTGTCCACGATTTACTTTTTTTTCTTTTACGTGTAAATGACCTCCCTAAGTCACATCATCTTCTTTTACACATAAATTTTGAATGTCGCCTGTAACTTCGTTTAATCACTATTCTCATGAGAACAAGTTATTAACAGTTGTCAGTTTTGAAATTAACAAAAGAATCAGCGACTAATTATGCAGTTAATTCAACATTCATTTCATTAATTCGAAATTTAAAAACCCTTCACATCTTTTTAGCTCTTCCACAACCTTCTTATTAAACGTCAGTTGTGATTTGAGCGCTTCTCATATCGACGTCTATCACTTGTCCTTTGTGCAGTTTAAACTATGTACAACCAACTAGCCCATCAGATTATTTTAGAACTATACACGATTAATTGATTTGCTTCCCCTCAGCGTGTGAACCAGCTTGGCCCCGAGAGAACACCCTAAGTGTGTTAAAGCACTGGTTGCTACGTTAGGGTGCTTGTGAAGAACATCAAATAGGGTGTCCTAGACATCCTTGACGGATTTTTTAACGAGCGAAAAAAAGGACGAGACCTGAATCACGACCCCGATGACTACTCCAATGCCTTGTATCCTCGAAAATTAAAAGGCACAATTAATTTTAATATTTTTAAAAGTCACAATATTACTCTTGTTGTTACAACCTAACAGGCGTGTATGCGTTACTGAAAAAGTAACCGACTACAATTCACTTACTTCGTTGAAAAATGTGACTGAGTGCAGGTATCAATTACTGCATCATAAAAGCAATTGAAAAATTCCCAGAAAGTAATTTATTACTTTTCACATTACTTTTTTTTAGCTTTTTATTGCGAAATCAAAAAGGCATACATATGTTCAAAGTGGTAACATTTGGTTTCTTTTTGTCGTTCGCACCTTGTTGAGTTTCAACCGCGGTTGTCGTTCAAAGTTCTCGTCAGTCATCTTCCCACGTCTCCCGGTGAACACATCGGCCGCGACGCTGAAGACCCCCTCGACGTGTGAGCTTGAGGGAAGAGCGATGTTGTAGCGCACAGACCCTCTGCGTACCAGTTCGTGGTTGCGCAGTGTTTCGAAGCACGCTTTCGTGTCCTCTGAGAAGCTAGGGGCTTTCTGAGGGTACTCGGAAGCGTTCGGCGTTGACACTCCTAAAGAATGTCAACGTTGAGCGCCTTGACATTCTAATCCTTGTGGTGTCTTGGTGTTTTTTTTTTTTTTTTTTTTTTTTTTTTTCAAGTGGTGCCGGGCTCAAAGAAAAGTGTCCAACGTTGGTGGAACATAGATGAGTGACGCAAAGGCAGACACAGCGATGTTTACGTGAAAAAACTCAACTCAATAATTTGATCTCTTTCGGAAACATATAATTTATTACTTGTAACTGATTACATCAAAATAGTGATTGAATTACAGCAAACAATACCGCAGGAAAAGGCAATTAAGAGTTAAAAAGTTGCAATAAAATGTAATTGATTACAAGTATACAGTTACTTGTAACTCGTTACGTACAAGTCTGCTACCTGACAAAGGTAATCAAATAATTGCAAAATTACTCCGACAGGAATATATTATAAACAATTTGATTACTTGTATTGAGTACCGTAAGAGTCCGTTAAAGATCAAATGAGAAAAATTCCCCAAGTCAAAGACACGTTTTTTACATAAAGGGAGGAATGTACATTTCTTGTTCTCTCTCCGGAAGATCTGAATCGAACGCTTTGTGCACCCGGTCGCATAGAAACGCACTGGTGTTTCCCTAATACCAATTGCTTGATCTCGAAGAAAGAAAGGGAATACGGAACACAAAATGACGAAGATGACCCTTTCTATGACTCCGCGCCTGCCTCAGCTGCAAACTTGCCTGTGCGAACTCGAGTATTGAATATACTTAGTTTCATATACTTAATCCAACGACTATGGGAACAGCATGAAACCCTTCTATAAATGAACCAACTTGTTCGCCCATTTTGTAAATCTCTCGCAAAACAAACGCGTACTTTCCATACTGTCTTTTTAGTGAGACACGTCCACTCCCTTGACTGCTATTTATCGTTTCCACTGGCGGCCTGCCTTGTTCGGCTTGTTCGCCATGGGGCCTCGGGAGGAGGCAACGAAACCAGATTCCGCGTTTGACATCGAAGGTAGGGTCAATAGCATTCCTCCTTTGCGACGCAGGTGTGACAGCAAACTGTTGCCACCCCGGATTCGTAAAGACGGAGCTTGCCAGCCACAGCTCCGACCTTCACACAAAATTCACGGATATCCTCATCCAGAACTTCGGCAAGGTAAGGAAGCTAGTGGCTGACCAGGTCGACAATGTCGTTGGCATTTCTTTTTTGCTTTTGCTTGAGCAACAAAAAAAAAAGTGTTGTATTTGCGTGTCGGACATATTCGCAAAGCCAGCGAAGATAACCGGAGCAACTGAAAATCCTAACCAGATAAAGCTGGGCCTAAAGCCAGCTTTATCTGGCCAGCTTTTAGCCACGGCTGCGCATACAGTATCAACACCCTATTCGCAAGTGTTCGCATTAGCGCCGCCATTTCGGTGCTTACGTAGTCATTTGGCGATAGTTACGATTAAAAATATTCGATTTCCTAAACTTCATATACCTTGCCAGAAATTACAGACGGTGTCATTTTTCTCTCGATCACGGAACGTCTAAACAGTTTCGGAGAACGTGAGAGTGTTTCCTGCGATTTCAGATAGAGCTTAAGATTTTTGGCCACAATGATGTTAAGCCGAAAGGCAGTCGCGGAACTTGGACCGCACGATATTGAACAGAACACGAGCAGCAACGCGGCACAAGACGAGTGAACTAGCGAGATAACTGAGACGACCACAGGGAAATGGTAAAGAGCGGTTAGTAAAGCATCTACTGGAACGGCGACCGGACAAGGTGGCATAGGAGTAAGACTAGTCAAGCCACTAGGAACAAAAAAAAATTAAAAGTTAAAACATTCAACTGATCAAATAATAACGAAGGTGAGGTACTCAGTGATTGAAGACTAAGCAGAATGAGATAAATATATAAAAGTAAGGGAAATAAGGATAGCATAACATCATTCCGCCCAGTAACAGCAACCTCGGTCCTTCATAGTCTAGCAATGGAGGTAGTAAAAAGAATAATAGAAGAATGCGCAGAAAAAATTTTAGGTGAGCTACAGAACGGGTTCCGAAGGTATAGAAGATTTATGATGATATATTATTTATCATCAGTCATAGTATAGAGGCAGCATGACAATCTACTGAGTGCCTCTCTAACCTCGAAAGATGCCCAGACCATGTCTCTGTGCACTCCCTCATTTAATGGATTCCGATGCGCCCCAAGTGCCCGTCTGCTCAAGCTCCTCTGCCGGGTCTCTAAGCTCGACTGGGGCACAGATTTCATGCATAATACCGCATTGCCAAAAGACAATCCCGGCACCATGACCGCTTTTCATATTTCCCTAACGACTTCATATATGGTTTTTCCACAGTGCGATATGCTTCATTGTTTCTGCGTTCCTTTTTCCATTCTTTATTAAACCTTGTTCCTGTTCTAAGTAATGTTTTCCGTAATTCAGCCATACTCCTTGGTATATATATATACCTATCTATGTGTTCTATTAAAAGTTTTGACAATACAGCGCCCCCGCCCCCCCCCCCCCCCCACCTCTTCTCATCAATATAAACCATTATTCCCGACTTGCCGCTGCTGAATTGCAGGCCCAGAGGGTCTCCTTCCCCTCAACAGATCTTATTCAGCTCCTATAACATCTCCAGGCTTTCTGCTGGCAGCACAATGTCGTCTGCGTAGTACATTTCTGGTATAACCTGATTTACATTTCCCCCTCTCTTCGTATATGACATATCCAAACATAGATTGCACTCTTCTAATTTCTCTTTCATTCCACTCAGAAATAACATGAAGAGTAGAAGTAAAAAACAACCCTGCCTGAGTCGTCTTTTTTTTTCTGCCGGTTCTGTAGATGCACACTAGATTAGACTTTTACAACAGGTATACACAAATAATAAGGTTGTTATAACATGGGAATGTTATAACAACCTAATTATTTGTGTATACCTGTTGTAAAAGCCTAATAAAATGCGCATCTAAATCATACTCTCTCAGCTGTACCCAGAGTTTTTCCTGACGCGCATTGTCCTACGCCCTTTTAATGTCTAGGAATGCTATCTATAAAGATTTTTTTTTACTAATTTTTCCCACCTCCATACATCAAGTGATGATGAATAAGTTATCGTATCTTCTATGTCTTCATAACTGGTTCTGCAGCCCACCTAAAATGTTTGCTGCCCATTGTTCCATTCTTCTTTTTACTACCACCTAGTCTGTAAAGGACCGAAGATGTTGTTATTGGGTGATATGATCTTATGCTATCCTTATGCTTCGTTTACCGAGGTGGCGGCGAACAATGGGCGACGGAAGCGACGCCGGCGGCTCGCTCTCTCCCTATAGGTTAAGTTATACTACGTTAGGCGCTCATAAAGTTGGCGCTTTACCATCAAGTAAAAGTGGAGCTGCGGTCGCGACTGTCGGTTATGAGGTTGGTCTATATATTCACATATGAATCTTCTTATGATGTAACCAGAAAACCGCGTCAAGAGACACGTCTAATATCGTTCCTGGCGCACGGTCCTTCTCCCCGATTGTTATCTTACACTCTAAAAAAAGGGTATCACCTTACACCCTTCTGTCCTATATAATGCACCCCACCACTTCAATTCGACGTACAGCGCACTATGGCCGAACAGACGGCCCCGAATTTTACGAGGGGCTTGATAACCGTGCCATATAACTTATTAAATAGCTAAAATACGTTTCAAATACCGCAGAAAGAAAACACTGAGGTTATGCAGTAAGGCCAAAAAACACCGATTATTTTATTTTTGTCAGTAACACGCACATTAGCTGTTTTAATAAGTTGTAGGGGGGATCGGTGGCCGAGTGGTCTAGCGCACACCAGCTCGGAGTACGTGGAGCGAAAGCTCGCGCTGCAGAACCCAGGGATCCTGGGTTCGAGCCCCACCCCTGCCCGTTTCGATCTGGATGAGCATCGTACCGGCGTGCGGTCGTGCATCACTACTGCGTGACGCACGTTAAAGACCCCAGGCTAGCGGCTGTACCGCACTGGCTAAATTTCTCATCTACAGCTGGGAGACTCGTCGCCCCTGTGAGGCAGACCAAGTTCTAGGCTGTATAAACACACACACAACCCAATTTTTTTTTTTAATAAGTTGTACCACACAGCTATGCCTCACGTGAAAGTTAGTGCCGTCTGTTCGACTATAGGGCGCTGTACGTCGAACTGAAGTTTTGGGGTGTATTATATGGGACAAAGGGTGTTAGAATACACATTTTTTTACAGTGCAGGGACATTAACGATGCAGAGGTTTTCTGGTCCGTCTGGACCTGCGCGAAGCTGGAGAGCTAGTGGTGACTTGAGGGTGCTTTACGCTTGCTTGTGGAGCCACTGGTGTTTCTTAAACATGAAGAAGATACATAGGAAGGGGGGACGGACAACGAAGGCGGCCTTCGCCATGCACCGCAGTCACAACAACTTCGGGTCCCCGTCTATAGGCTTATCCAGGAGGGAGATAACCTTCCTGGGGCCAGAGCTGACATCCCTCGTTTCCGCGGCTCCAAGCGATTAAATGTCAACCCCACGGAATCGTCCTTCACTTCCCTGGCTCTACACCCTCTCCCATCGCCTTCCCACTTTTCAGTGTAGCCTCTTTCACCGTCCCCTCCTTCACCTATATATGCAAACTACGGGTCAATAAATGTTGTTGCTAGTTGGAAGTCTTCGTTGTCCGTCCCCCCTTTCTATGTATCTTCCTGATGTTTAATTACTGTTACCAACACGCTCGTTTTGTACTTAACGGTGTTTCGTTTGCTGTCAAGTCGGAACAAAGACTGTTGTTGTCTGCCCTTAAACATTTCACCTCGGCAGCTAAGATGTCTAACTTGGCACCAAACTTATCCAAAACACTTGCCTCGGCAGGAGGGATGACGATGGATTCATTGACGTCGTTTTCCAGTGGTGACTACAGGATTCGTTCTCGGAATCGAAGGCTTCGGACGCATTCGACGAGCTGACTTTCTTGTCGGGCGCGCTACGGTTTCGCCGGATGCAGTCGTTTTTTAATGTGCTGGAACCGGAAGCCATGAACACGTTGTATTCTTCAAGGCCAACGTTTATGCAGTTACAATGGAATTTGCTCCTGCAGCGGCCAGCACAAGCCAGAAATTGTTGCTTGCCAACTACGGGAGTGGAGCACGTTCCGCACGCAACCTTCCTCGGTGCCACCTTGAAAAAGATGGCGCCGAATATGCATCTCGTTCACTCCGAGCGTCAAGTGACATACCTAACCAAGACCGTCGGCAGGACGGTCTTGGATAGGTATGCCAGAACAAGAAAACTTAGATGACAACCACCTAAGGGCCAATTCACACAAGAACGTTTTTTTTTTGTGTTTTTTTTTATGGGTCATTCGGATATTTATGCTTCCAATTTCGTATGCAAAGCTACTCCTCACATTGGTCCATACGCTTCATACAAAGCGAAGCTTTTTGGATAGGAAGCGCTGCAATCGAAATCTTCTTCAGAAGGAATCGTTTTTCAAAACATCGTTCATCCCGAACCAATCTTGCGAAGAACAACACTGAAATATATGCTCACTTCACAAAGCTTGCGTCCTGCATTTATGATAGCAAACCAAGTACTTCTCCCCTTTGCAGAGACTTTAGAGACTTTTTAGTGTTGTGTCGTTTACCCCGCAGCGTCGGGTTTTTTTCAACCATGTGCAGTTACGTTGTTGCCTGACGAAGAGCGGAAGGGTCTTTTGCCGTTCTCTGACCTGTTTCTGCACCCGAAGGCACAGCAAGCCGCCACTAAGCGGCTGAGAAGAAGCGACCCGAAGTGTTGCAGCAGAACCTGGCAGTCCACAAAATTGCCGCTCATGTCGACGACTCGAAACAAAGATGATAGCAGAGACCGCACATCTGTCAGGTGACTTGTACCGTCCACTGAAGCTGCAACAAATCAAAACAAACTCAGCTAGAGTGAGTCTGTTGTCGGCAAAGCACTAAAGAATGAAGATACAATACTCTGACACACTATTCAGTTTCACTAATGGCATATTGCTCGTAGAGTCTGTCGCAGTACGTCATAACGTCAAACGCGGACGATGTATATGGTTTTAGCATCCCACACATATAGGTAAGCTAAAACTTGATGTCAGTGCTTCTTTTTTTGTTTTTCTTTTCTTTTCAGAGCCCCGAGGAAGGTGCGCAGACGACGGTTCACCTGGCTGTGTCCGAGGACGTGGAGCACGTCACTGGAAGGTGCGTCTGGCGCTCTTGCGGTTCCCAATGGGGAGAGTGGGACGCGAACGACAGCCATGGGATGTGAGACGTGCCGTTGAAATGATTGAGTGCCATCATCTGATATCTCTCGTGCGAAAGATGCGAGAGAGCCTTCAGTGGACGTCCTAGTGGTCCACACTCTCCATCGAGAGTCCGCTGAGAACAGCCAAGAGGCGTTAGATTCCTGGCAAAACGAGCTAGTTGCTTCGAATTCCACTCAGCGAGTAAATTAAGAGCACCAAACAAGCTAAACAAGTTTCAGCTGATGAGAGGGCCGTTGTATAGTTTAAAGTGTGAAAATGGCCTCTCTAAAATTAAAATCTCCGTTGAATCAAAACGAAACAGTCTTTTTTTTTCTTTTTTTTTTTCGTTGTTTTGTAACCGTTTCCTTTTTTTTTTTTTTTTAAGTTGGAACAATACATTGTAGTCCCTTTCAACTCAGGAAGGTAGGACGAGGGAAAGGAAGGCCGGGGAGGAGAAAGCAGAAGGAAAGTAGGAAAGGAGAGTAGGAACCTCCTTTTCTCCAGCGTTCCGTCAGCTTCCTCCTCCCCGACCTTCCTTTCCCTCGCCCTACCTTCTTGAGTTGCAAGGGACTATCGTAGATTTTGTTGCATTAGATAGAGAGGCGGGAATTAGCTTGACACCGAATCTCGCTAGATAGCTTCAATTGAAATCGTCAAAACAAAGTTAAAAAAATAAGAAAAAATGTACACTCCCCCCCCCCCCCCCCCCACACACACACAAAAAAAAGAACAGAACAAAAAGAAAAACCACGCATTGTTAAACGTTTATTCTCCGCCCAATTGAAGCGCTAGTGGTTAGAAGCAGATGCCAAAGTTCTAAAACAAACCGTTCTTTTGTTCATAAGTCATGACTGATTTTCTAAAATTTCAATAGGAAAATGGCGGCCGATGGAGCCCTTAAATATATGGAGTTGAGTGGCTCCATTTACCATGCGCGGACATCATATTTCATTTAAATTTTCAGAAAATTACCCACAAATTTCGCATAAGATAACGGTTAGTTTTAAAACTTTGGCGTCCGGTTCGAACCCCTAGCGCTACGTTAGAGCGAGGGATGTAAGTTCGGTAACGTGTCGTTTATTTATTTATTTTTTTATTTATTTATTTATTTATTTACTTGTGGGGGGAGGGGGGGGGGGGTGGACACGCTGCACATATAAGGTATCTAAATTTCTCGATTGATGCAAACTTCCTTTTGAAAATATCCCCATTTAACAGTTTTATAGACGGGAACTCGAAGGGTCACGTGCATCCAATTCTTATTTTGATGTTAATTACGGCAAGAGCCATTAGTTCACGCCGTTTCGCAGCGCCTATCTCGCGCATGTTCGGTGTATGTTGTGGCCCGATAAAATTAGCGGAACTTTTTCTACGCTAAATGTAGCAGTGAATCACAGTGTCGGGATGCAACGTCACAGTGTCGCGTGACGTCATGGGGTAACGTGACGTCATCCGGTTACGTGACGTTAAAGTGTCAGATGAATACCGTCCGCTATATTTAGCGGAAATTTTAAACGCTCCAGTTTATAACTATCTGCAGCAGTGCGCAGTGTCTCGGCTGTCGCCGCAGTTCAATTGTGGGACACGCCAAGGATCCGAAAATGTCTTTGCCCATATTTTGCCATTGCTTACGAAACTGGTCAAGTATCTCAAACTATACAAGAAGAAATGTAGGTAACTTGGACTATCACGGACCATTTGTTTTAAAAGAAATAGCTTATAAATATTTAACTTCATTACGGCTTGTTTACAAACCCAACCACTGGCTACCTAAGACAATTTTACTTCACAGTCGGATTAACCTTTACAAACCATGGCACGCGAAAACAATCGGTCAATAGCTACGAATGTTACATAACTGTTATGAAGCATGGAGTAAGGCGCAAAAAACAACGGGTGTGTCTTTTTCCTTCTGTCTGTTGTTTTTTTGCGCCTTACATCATGCTTCATAACAATCACCAACTGCCCAACTACAAGTTCTTCTACGTTATACAACCGGTGTTATGCTGTTCTGGCTCGTATATGCAAGAAAAAAACATGCCTTGCTAAAGAGCTTAAAAACACACTAGAATTTTTAGCTATTTCCGGGCGATTTGACTAAAAGTATAATTTATGTAATCGTACCGTGCATTAATTGCCCATAAGGTTGCAAAACACAGAAATTTGTACGGAATATTTGTCACGGGACATCCAGGTAAATAAACCGCGGTTTAGGTCGACCCTGAGAAAGGCTGACGCAGCTTAGCTGGTGGGCTCGAAGACCCTGAGACGTTGCCGAAAACTACAGTTCATCGATGGCACTCCACGGGTACAAACTCAGGGACAGGTCGCCAGAGCGCCCAGCTCTGTCACTGGAAATGCCATTCAAAAAGCTAGATGTCTGTCTCGACTTGCTGTTTCAACGCGTTCGAAGAGTGAATAGAAAAAAAAAAATAGGGCAGAGACACTTAAGACTGCTTACGTGTAGCAATGCGAAAGTGTTCCTAGACAAAGCTCATTGCTACAAGCAGATAGCCAGGTCTACCTATCACACACGGCGCTCCGGCGGTTACATCAGACTCCCCCACTGCGCAGGAGCATGCGAACCGCTTCACGACGGCTTCCGTGACCAGGCATCTGCGTTGCTGCGCTTTTCTTTGCGTTTTATTTCTGAAGCGCGTCCGCTTTGCAGCCATTGGGCATCTATTGGCCTTTTCGCCCAGCCAATGGGAATTCACGTGCCGTTTCGCTCAGCCGATGCGTATTTAGGTGCCGTTTTTCGCTGCTACAGACATCAGATAACGCCGGCTTCGCTCCGTGGGAGAGTTAATGCTTTCGCGTTAGAAAAGGCAGCTAGCTTTGCTCCTACCCAACCACCGACAATAATAAAACCTGCGCACATCCTCCTCTTCCTCCATGAAATGCCATCCCGGTAGGACGACGCCAACTCAGCAATTGAACCCATGCCCGGCGCCGAGAGTCCCTCGACGCGTTGTTTGGGCACGAGGCTTAGCCGAACGCTAAGTTGAGACTGCGGTGGAAGCTACGAGCACGTTGAACCAGTCATACGTAGATCCTTCGCCACGTGATCACGCTCTCCCCCACATTCTCGCGCGGAGAGCTGACTTAGATGATGAAAGGAACGCGGTTGATCGGACCGGCGAAAGCCTAAATCCCATCGCAGTGTCAGCTTAGGGGTGAACGCAGACTCGCCACTGTGTCTTCGCTGGATCTTACTGTGATGGCGTCAACATTCCGGTGCTTCGATTATTCCAGGCGGTGTTGGTTGAACCCAAATCGCTTGCCTTCCTTCTCGGGAAGGTAAACCCACGCTTCCGTCGTTCCAGGTACTTCGCCGACTGCAGACCTTCCGTGGCGCCCCGTTGGGCCCTCGACCCTGTGAGCGCAAAGCGCCTCTGGGATGTCTCGGAAGAAATGCTGGGACTCACGGGCCAACCTCCTTCTTCGCTGCCCGCCTGCTGATGCTACACCGCCTATATAGAGTGTTTCAATCATCGCCTTCTGCTCGATGCTTACTGGGCCGTGGAACCGGTTCTTATCATGCGCACTGTGCTCGACGACAGCTTTTCTTGGCAATGCAGGGGAGAGGAGGAGATCCCGCGCACAGCTTTATTCAGCGCTCAAAATGGGAGAGGGAACGCGGGCCTGTACGCTCCACCACTGCATTGCCAAGAAAAGTTGACGCCGAGAATAGCTCTCTTCTGCGAAAAAGCAGACGCCGCGGATACGTAAATGTGACTCAGTGATTCCAAATCTTTCTTCTTTTTTTAATTTTTTGCACTGGCAATAAGCGTTGGAAAGGTGTATTCTGTTGCAGGTTAAGCAGAATTAGATAAGCCCTCTAACCAAGCTCACCAATCTCCTTGGTTAGTAGTTCCTCCTCTCCAGCGTTCGCTGTGCAAAAGTTGAAAGAGTGGGGTGGCTTTCTGGAAAACGCTTGTCCTCCTATACTAAACCTGCAGCAGACTTGATAACAAGGCCGCAGTGCTGAATTTTTGGTGTCACCTAAATGAAGGCCGATGTGGTGCTCAGATTGAGAAAAAACTACTAACTCAATATTTGACTGGGTCTCGTGCTCCGTCAGTGGAAACCCAAGTCCCACTTGAAATCCCCCGCAGTGGTCGTGCGCAGTCTGCGTTTGGCCTTCATCTAGATAACGCCGCCGGCACCAAGGCTTTGTTATCCAGGAGGCGTTGCGTCGATTCGTCCTTCAAAGAGCACGTGGAAGAGTGTGATTACGTTACTGACCGCCTGTATACACCATTCCGCAAAATATTTTTTTTCTTATCCTGGCAGCTGCCATGCTGGATGTACTTTTTTTTTTTTTTTTTTGGTGCGTACGCACTTTTTCTTTGGCTTTGCGAGGTGGCCAGCTTGCTCCGCTGGCTTGTTTTCATCGCACGCTAGACTCAGTTTTTGGAAACAATTAAAGAGTTTTATGATGTAACGGTGACAGTACCACGCTCGCAATGAAGCTCGTCATCAAAAATTACGGTCATCGAATTGTGTCTATCATAATCGTGTTGACCGAGCGAGTGCATGCTCACCTTGTAGGCATACCTAGGGCGGTGACAGAAAATAAATTATATCCGTATGTCCGCTCGCAACCCTTCGCTCTTTTTCTTCTTCCTCGCAATTTGGTGACACAAGTGTCCCAACTTGGCAAGCTTGTGAGTGGGACACGAGTGGGCTACTTCACATTTATACTCCGTTCACCCCCAAGCTGATGAAAAAAAAAATACATAGACTTTACGGAACAAATAGAACGATTTAATCGGACGTTTCGTCTCCCGTACAGGAGACGTCATCAGTGAAGTGAACTTCGCAAGAATGAGAAAAACACCAACCAGAAATCGAGAAAACCAGAAATAACAGGATTTCTGGTTGGTGTTTCTCCTATTCCTGCCAATTTGGCTTCACTGGTGACGTCTTCGGTATGAGAGACGCAACGTCCGATGAAATTGTTGTATTTGTTACGTAAACTCGGTGTAGCTTGCTTCACTATAATGACTTAGAATGTTCCAGAAGCCGGGGACGGTTTCGGGAACATTTTTGCCCGCCCAAACCGACAGTGGGGTGGCAATTAGAGGAGCTCGTAGGACCAGTCATGCCTGGCTTTCGCTATCGCAGCCCTACTTTTCTCGCAAAGCGCCAAGTCACGTGACGAAAGGAAGGCGGTTCGAAAAACTCCGAAAAACACTCGCCGGTAAACTTTTTGTCAATTGGGATTGATCCGATAAACTCCGAATTGTTATGTGCCCATGCCACCCCCCCCCCCCCCCCCCCCCCGCCCTCGACAACAACAAAAAATAATAATTTTTTTACAAGTTGAGCAGCGCGAGATCAATGGCCCTGGAAAAATGACAGCATAATTATCTTTCATGCCTCAGACCGTTGTCAAAAGGGGGTCGTACGGCTTTTCTCGTCAAGGTTGGTTCAAGGAAACAGGTCATCGTACCATTTGTGTCACGACAAAAGCCACTCTTTTGGTTTCCAGTTTGGGCCATGGGATTTGGGATTTAGAGAAAGGTGAGGGTATGTTTCTGGGCGTAACAGTGAAAGCTATGAACCATAGAGGTTGTATAAAATAGAGAAGATGGGCAGTTGAAACTTCTCCATTACATCCTTATCCACTCCACCTCAAGCGGCCGCTGGATAGATTGATCGGATCACTACTAGCTTCCTTGGGGCTACCTTCGGCAGTTTATTGATCTTAAGGTATCGACGTTAATCGAAGCCACACTTTTGTGCAACTTTTGTCTTGGGACAAATTAGTAGTATTGCCAATGACACCAACGCCAAATTCAACTGAAGAAATCTGAATTCACAAAAGCGCTTTTTGTTTTTTACCTAACATACGTTTGCATCCGGTTATTATTTATTATTTTTAATAGGAAACGCTGCAAAATTAATCCCCGCATTTTAAAGAATTGGGGATTTACGAAAAATAAACTCCGATAATCACCAAATTTTTAATAAAAAATGAACTCCGAAAAGCACCCTGCCAATTTCACGAAAACTAAACTCCGAAAACACGGAGCCCTAGTTATGACATAGCGGGGGGAGGAGTCGAAAGATTGCAGCGAAGTTTTCTTTTCTCACAAACCCGCCGATCCGTATATCTTCGGTACTTTTTTCATTGAAAAGGCGAAAAATCCTTACTACTCCCTAGGCGCCGAGCTAGAGCAGCACGAGAAAGCAAGCGGAGACGAACGTGGTTCGTATAGGGAGTATTCACTGGCGGTCATAGCTGTGTGCGCGAATGCTGAGCGCGTGCTGATGGCGTGCTTCCACAGTTCTTTTGCAACGTGCGTTCCCCACCATCGAAAGTGCCGGTCTTAGCAGCCTACTGATGTGAGCTCGTTCTGAGCATGCGCTCAAAACAGCACCCACAAATATGGCGTCTAGTGAATACTCCCTATACGTTTAATTTCACGATGAAGATTATCAGCTGCGACCTTGATGGTCTCTAAAAAGCACAGCGGAGGCTTGGGTGATTGCATTCTAAAATCAACACCGTCAAAGTTGATAGTCTGATATCGTTCTTATTTCTGCCGATAAAGCAGAATTTACTTAAAAACATCCCTGTCGTCCCTTTTATTGAATTTGATCACAGTGGAGCCCGACGTGGCTAGGTCACAACTATAGTCACAACCAGCCGAGTAGCATTGTCCACCTTTGCACGGATTTCGCTTCCGTGCAGTTGTCCCCCCTCAGCGGGAGATAAAATCTTTTTATGATAGACTTTGAAGACTGGTTCGAATCGTTTCCTGGCATTCCTGCGGCCTTGTCCTGACTGTACTGGAATGTAATTGGTCTCATCTCTTCTCTTCTTTGATTTCATCAGCGGTTCGAGAGCTCTACTCGCATCCGTGAGCAACTTTTCCCTCAATTTCGAGCCCTTTTTCACCTTCTATGAGCCTTTCGTTGAACCCCCCGCGCTAAGCCTACTGGCCCAGCGCGGCAAGGAATAGGGCACGGTGACGGTAGCGCCGCCGGCCCATCGGACCCACGCCGCCGTGACGCAGTTTTAACTCTCGGACATGGCGACGCCTCTGGTTGCGCCACCGCGGTGCAGTTGCTGTAGGCTACTCAGGATCATGCCGCTGTCACTTCGTACGAAACCTCTTCCCCTCCCTCGCAAGAGATGGGCGAGGACGCGGAGGACTTCGGCCCGTCCAATAATGCAAAACGTTTTCGTTCGTCCGACGATAGTCTTAAAGACGCAGACACAATTGTCTCCACGCTTCATGGGCTTTGCGAGAGCCGGATGCCACTGACTTGGAGGGACTTTGGGAAAAGGCTACAATGAGAACCCAGCGCCGAGCGCAACTCAAGGCATCGGGCCAACCCCTACCCACCACAAGCCGCAAGGAACGTGTAACTCTCGGCACCCATGTAATCAAGATACAGCCCACAGAAAGATGCGACGTATTGAGCTTAGACCCGGAAGAACTGAAGACCGTTATCAGCTCCTTCGCCGGTGACCCCAAGTTACTCAAACATCAGATACTGAGGGTGAGCAAACTCTCTAATGCCATCGTCGTTACTACGTGCGACTCCACGCAGGCCACGCATCTCCTCCGTATGGGTGTGTTACCTTTGCGATCGAGACCACCACTCCCGGTGCGTACGTACCAGGTTCCCACGGACGGCATCTCCCGGGGAGTAATCCATGGCTGCGAACCCAACGAACCCACGGCTAAGCTTCTGGAGGCGCTGTACGCCGACAAAGTGGATGTCCTGACGGCCCGGCCTATAGGCTCCAAAGGCACAGTCCTCATTCATTTTGAATCCCCGCATCCGCCATGCGAAGTTATGTATTGGAGCTTCCCGAGAAGGGTGGAATGCTACGAACAGCGATCTCTCGTGTGCCCGCGCTGTCACCGCCCGGGACATAAAGCCACCAGCTGCCCGATTAACCAGCCGGAGTGCAGAAACTGCGGAAAACAACACGAGTAACCCCCGAAAGCCTGCCCGAATGGCGAGGCCAAGTACTGCGGTCATTGTAAACACGATGGACACGTGGCTACCGATCCCTCTTGTCCAGCTCGAGCTCAATTCGCTCAGCGCGCGAAACAAAGGGAAGGAGCCAAACAAGAAAGAATGGCGCGGAGCCGCTCGCGCAAGCGCAGGCAGCGATCCAAGCAACCCTCTGGCACCACTAACTCACGTCCCGGTTCCAAGGGTACTACACTGTTAGCAAAAATAACACGCCCGGACGTGTAAACCGTTGTCCCATAGCGGACACGTCGAAACGTGTTCGTTTTACACGAGGCCATCTGTGTTTTTCGTCTACACATGAGGTGCTGTGTAAACTTAACACGCTACACCGTGTCTGCCTTCCGCAAAACCGTTTCGAGCGTGTTCCTTATGAAACATGGCGGCCAGCGGCCGAGAACAGGCGAGAGACGAGCCCAGCGAGCCGCGCGCCTTTCAGCCGAATTGAAAGCACACAGGGC